ATCATGGATTTACTGTAATGTAGATTTTATTCTGAAGACAAACAGATGAGATAGTGACGATAATATATCTTTTACAACTGCGTGGGTAGCGCAATCGACAGATCACCTTACCCGCGTTTGTCACTTTAAGAACTAGGTCCGTGCAATACAATGGAAAATCTTTCGATACATCCAACAGATGTTTGAGCGAATTGCGAGAAACAATCTCAGACAACTGTGTCATCTCAAATGATTCATATAGTTCTAAAATCCTGTTACATTTGTAAGTGATAATTTTAATACGATATATTGCTATTTTGCGACATCGTCTATTCGAAATTTCATCGCATCGATCGATCGTTGTCTTTAAGAAACGTGCTTCCAGAAGAAACCGTATTAGCGTCTTGCGATTTATCGAGGAAGCCGCGTCGCGCTGAATTAGGCGCATTTGCGTCGTGGCGCTTAATTACGAAGATCGATCGAGAGGAAATCGCTGCCTTTTCCGCTCTTTTAGTCAAAACCGAAATTCACCGAAACGTTCAATTTATCTTGCTCTTTCCATCTGGTAGTGCAGATGGAATATTATCAACGCTATCAATTCGAATCTCGCTGAATATAATTATTTTCTCGCGTAATCTGCGTTTTCTTTCGACGAGAAGATTATTATCGCGATAATGAAAGAGCGTTACGCATTAATTAATTTGGTTTTCTGATAGAGATAAGAAATCTGATATCTTAAAATCGATAGATAAGTTTAAAGGTGTTCTATCAAAACGCCAACGACGTCGATGAATAAAAAATTTTCAATATTATTGCTTTACTAATGTAATGAAAGCAAGAAAGGACAGGAAGACGAGAGCATCATATATTATCTTCACAGTTATCATCGTCGCGCTATTTATGATGCATTTATCCGGTGCATTTCTCACGAAGACCTTTATGCATTAATTCCTTTCGCGCTTTGACAAACTCTGACATTTCTAGAATGGACTAGATTGAAAGGAATTGATCGCGCGGAGAGCGTTGACGTAACGTGAATCCGACCTTTAATCGGTATGAACGTATTTTCCGCGACTTTTTTTTTTTTTTTTTTTTTGCTGTAAAATAACTCTTTATTGCACCAGGAACGCCCGACGGGAAGCAAGGATAAGACATGAAGATTTTATCGCCATCGGCTTTGTATTTTTCCCGCTGCTGACATTGCACGAGGCGTAAAACAGTGCGTTCGTGGTGTGTGACGTAGACGTAGAGACGGCATTAAATTCTCAGCGTCGTGAAAGTAAATTAGAAGAGAACGTTTTCTCTCGGTTCGCGCGAGATGCGAGGCATTTAAGAGTCTCATTATAGACGGGCGATTTCGAAAAGTATGCTTGCGCACTCATATCCTTCGCTTAACAGAGTGATTAATATGGAAAACAGAGAGAGAGAGAAAGAGAGAGGGAGATAAGGAGACAGAGAGAGAGAGAGAGAGAATGGGGGGAGATAAGACTTATTTGACACTGCAACGCGCGGATAACGAAAAGGACGCTACAAAAAGTAGTAGATTACACGACGTGGCATTACTCTTTAGTAAAACGACACATACACACTTTGCGAATATCGTAAATATCGTTGAAGACCTATTGTTCGCTCAAGTGAGAGACAATAAAATCGCGCGAGGTCGGCTGAAAAACAAGGATGATTAATGCTCCAATACGTGGATCTGCTGATATCGAGGAAGAAAAAGAATCGCGATAGAGGCGAAAGTCAGTCGTGAGAGTATCGAATTACATTATCCCCGGAAAAAAGCGGGAGTGAAATTAAACGACGTTGCTCGTGGATCGTTCAGCGGGAGCGGTTGGGGAGGAGAGGGGGAGTTCACGCATCCCGCGGGAGTCGTGAACTCCCGGTATCGTTTGTTAGATAAATCCCAAGCGTTATCACGCTCGTTAGCGACGACGACGGGATCTCGCATTAAACGTCGCTCGCTTTATCGCCCCGCGAGTCCGCGATCCTGACGGATGTTCTTCCGGTGCGCGCTATCGGGCCGACACGCCTGCGCCCGCCGAACGAACCCGGGGCCTCGGGGTGAGGAGACCTATTGTTCGCTCAAGTGAGAGACAATAAAATCGCGCGAGGTCGGCTGAAAAACAAGGATGATTAATGCTCCAACATGTGGATCTGCTGATATCGAGGAAGAAAAAGAATCGCGATAGAGGCGAAAGTCAGTCGTGAGAGTATCGAATTACATTATCCCCGGAAAAAAGCGGGAGTGAAATTAAACGACGTTGCTCGTGGATCGTTCAGCGGGAGCGGTGGGGGAGGAGAGGGGGAGTTCACGCATCCCGCGGGAGTCGTGAACTCCCGGTATCGTTTGTTAGATAAATCCCAAGCGTTATCACGCTCGTTAGCGACGACGACGGGATCTCGCATTAAACGTCGCTCGCTTTATCGCCCCGCGAGTCCGCGATCCTGACGGATGTTCTTCCGGTGCGCGCTATCGGGCCGACACGCCTGCGCCCGCCGAACGAACCCGGGGCCTCGGGGTGAGGAATGCCGACCCGCAAAAATAATTAGACTCGAGAGGACCACCGTCCTCCTTCGATCGCGCGAGGATGGACCTCGCGTTGCGCATGTTGCGATGGTCGCGCGCGATGTCTTAAAAAATTAATTAAGTTCGTATAAAGTATAAATGCATCTCGCACGAATCTCGAATACGTTATCTCCGGTGAGAATCGTAATACGTGGGCAATATTTAAACTTCGTTGCGCGCGAGAAAATTTCCATTTTCCGAGAATTCGCAAAGAAGTCTAATAAATTATCGTTGCTATTATGTTTCTCTTGTTCTCTCTTTCTCTATCTCTCTCTCTCTCGCTCTAGAAATGTAAATCTTGCGGTGAGATATTACGAGCATTACGACAGCTAATTACTTTGATGACAGAGCAAGAAGCAGCTCGCGATTCAGGAGAGGCAGAGGAAACGACGGAACAGCCGACACATGTAGCATTCGGGTGAGTGAATATCTTTGTTTTAATCTTTTGAACTCGGCGAGCTGTTATAACAGCCCGACGTTTTTCCTTTGGGATCACATACGGAAACTACGATATAATCTACGCTAATTAAATTATAATACATAGAACGTAAGAGAAATACGCGTTTCAACGCAACGTCGAGTTTTATAATTCATGGATCTCCCCGTCGTTAATCTTCGTACTTTCATTCGTTATTAAATTTACATTTTATAATTTGCACGAGATACATTCTATAAAATTTGTGAATGAGGTGCTTTTCCCCTCCAATCTCGGAGTGAGCTTGAAACGTGAATAAGATTAAATTAAAATTAGATTAGATTAGATTAAAATTGGAATGCTCGAGAAAAGATATGGGAACAGAAAATATCTAGTAGCGAAAGTACTTGCTTTCTGCGAAGTAAAGGAAAGTTGGTAGAGTAAGTTGAAGCGGTAAATTCTTAAATTCTAAAATACGATCCATCTTCCAGTCCCATTCTCCATTATTAAACCATTATAGTATTAAAAACGTAAGAAAAACATTAAATATAGCTTGTTTAATGCGCATTAACAATTTAAATACCATTATCCATTCTTTCATCGCGTCGTTCTATTAAAATTTCGTCCTCCCTCTATTAAAGTTTCGTAATATATATTATATACCAAATCCTTGCTATTTATCACATTTCCCGATATTTAATTTTCTATATTCAGGCATCGGTATAATGAAGCCGTCCATGAAGATGGGAGTGATCGCTTTGATAGGGATCTGCGTAGTTTTTTATCAGTATCACCTGTCCACCGGTGTTACTTTCGATCAAGTAACGGCCTTCAATGCGGACACTTCCGCAGAAGAAGCCGGGGATTTGCCGATCGGTGAAGAGGGCGATAACTACAGCAAAACCCCGAGGATCTCCGAGGACATGGTAAAGAGATATTAATTATATTGCTTCAAGGGAAAGGGAAAAAAAAAAAAAAAAAAAAAAAATAACGATATTACCGCGTAATTACCAGAGATTAATTGCTCATCAATTTCCGTAAACGCGTTTCACTAGAGCTACTCGCTTCCTTCGCCTGAAGGGAGAGAGATTAGTTACTATATATATATATTATTATATGTCAATCAATAATTAATTATATTATTAAAACATCTACAATTATTGTTCTTTTTTTGCAGATTCGGTATGCAGTGTACCGAGTACAAATCACCAACGGCCTGAGTCCGGAGATCAGCTCGATGCTCGTGCAAGAGCTTATCAGTCAGTTAAGCAAAAACCTCTCGGCGGCCTCCAGAAATAATTCCAAACTTTCGCCTTTGCAATCGCAACCGCCCGCAATGACAATGACACATAAGACGGTACCGCCGAATCCTCTCGAAGTATTCCCCGAGGAAACCCTCTATATTATCACGCCGACATATCGAAGACCCGAACAAATTCCTGAACTCACGAGGATGGCGCATACCTTGATGTTAGTCAAAAATGTGCACTGGCTCGTTATCGAGGACGCTACCGTCGCTACCAAGCAAGTTACCAAATTATTGGAACGGACGGGCTTAAAGTTCGATCATTTAATCGGTAATATAATAGTTTATACAATATATATATATCTCTGTCGCAAAAAAACAGTATCTGCAATGGCGATGAACGATTTTATGTTATCCCAGCTCCGATGCCGGAGAAATATAAACTCAAGAAAGGTGCGAAGCCGCGTGGAGTGTCCAATAGAAATCGCGGTTTGCAGTGGATCAGGGCGAACGCCACGAGAGGCGTGTTCTACTTCGCCGACGACGACAATACTTATGATATTGAGCTTTTCGACGAGGTAAGCTAAGATTACGAAAGTATATTTTCGCTTTACGCTGCGAGAAAAACTCGATATTTCTTTCTGAAGGAGACAGAAATATCTCTTGAGGATATTTGAGGAATTCGTTCTATACATATAACGCGCGCATTTATTTAGATCCGTAAGACGAAGACGGTGTCGATGTTTCCGGTGGGGCTATGCACCAAGTTCGGACTGAGCTCACCCATCCTGAAGAACGGCAAGTTTGCCGGGTTCTACGACGGCTGGGTAGCCGGCCGGAAGTTTCCGGTGGACATGGCCGGGTTTGCTGTGAACGTTAAGTTCCTGCATCAGCGGCCCAACGCCAGCATGCCGTTTCGCGCGGGTTACGAGGAGGACGGCTTCCTGAAGAGCCTGGCGCCGTTCGAGCCGCGGGACGCTCAGCTCCTGGCGGACAATTGCACCAAGGTGCTCGCCTGGCATACGCAGACGAAAAAGAACGAGCCGGGCGCGGCGCTGGACATGAAGCTGTACGGCGCGACGAATCTGGTTAAGCTCAAGCAGCAGATAGTATGATGCCGGTCGATGCGACGACGAAAAACGCGAGGACTCGTATCTGAATCTTGTGTGATCCCGCCGCCCCTCCTTCGCACTAGTTCATCGGATATCACACTCCAAGGGAATTCCTAGGTGCGGAAAACTGTGCGATTCAGTGCCTAAAGTATCTGCCCTCTCTCTCTGTCGGCGAGAGCGGGACCGTTATTATTACCTTTAAGCGTAGCCAGTAAAAACGATCGTTTTTTTATCAGCTTTTACACATCCGCAACTAGTTCACCCCGAAGATGGTTCGCCCTTACAATTAGTTTGAGGAAGAAACCTGCGGGGGGAATAATAGGATCCGGAGTAACGCATCAGCCGTAATGATAGAAATTTACGCTTATGTTAGAAAGTTCAAAATCGTTTCTCTTTTCTTATTTCCTATAATATTTTAATTTTGTAAACGTGAAAAAAGAGCCGAATTTTTTCGTTGGGATGAATAATCGACGAAAATACGAGGTGGTTACTGACCGAAGGTTGTGCGGTTTCGAATCATTTCTAACGCGTAAATATGAGAACTCGCACACTCTGTAGATGAAAGACCAAAGAAAACAAACGGATCACTCGCTGTAACGCTAAGCTCTTATTATCTTTATTCTACCTGAGGAATTCGTTCCGCGAAAATTCTATAAATATAGATTGTCTGTTCTATTCCATTGTATTCCATTAGCGAAGTTCCATTCCTAAACTTACTCTTATACAAGATGTAAGGTCAAAGATGATTTGACCAAAAAAGAGTGAAAATATCTGAAGCGATCACGTAATTCTACTTTCAAGTAATTTTACGCTCCTCAGATTCACGATTGATCGGTCTCTCAGCTCGTGAACCGTTCGTTAATGTAGTTACCATGATGTTTAACAATCGTTAGATTGTCGTCTAATCCTGCCCCGTCTCTTTACGCGATTAGCAAGTATAGATGATTACGAGGTAGAGAGTTAGAGCAAGTCCCTTCATAAGAATTCCTCGTATCTTCAAAAGATTACAAAAGAATAAATTCAAAGCGTGAAAATATACATATGAAAATTGAAGTTTAATGCTTTAAAGTTTGTCGAGAATGATTAGGATTACTATTTACGAGGATTTCTGATCAAGGAAATCTCTTCGATAGATATTTCCGATTGAAAAATGTGAAGTTTGGAATGTATGAGAGATACATTTCGTTAAATATCTTTGATTACTTGTATAACTTTCTTTAGGAATATTTTCTTGTTTTTTTTTTTTAAGGAATCGCGCGGTTACAATACGAATAAATAAGATCTAAATAAAAAAAGATTGCAGAATCCGCAACAGGCATATCGTTATCATGGTCCGAATAAAATCAGAAGAATCTGAAAAGTTAATTTATGAACTGAACATACATCAACAAGAATACTTATGTACATACGACAAATGTTATTTGCTACAAGTATTCTCGCTTCTATTTGACTGAATAGGAATATTTTTAATTACCGAATTGCGCTCTTTCATTTCCATTATAATACCGATTATAATATGTTTATTTTATTATAACAAATATATCGATTATAATTTATTTTCTTATAACAAATATATCATATATTTGTTTATTTTATTATATTGTGAGATTATAAGCAAAATAACGGATTATAATCAAACAGATGAGTGTTGCGTTATCGACATGTGTGCGTGTGTGTGCGTAGGAAATATGTACTTCCTAGAAACATAATATTTAAAAAGCTACATTTGACTTCTTGCACAATATAGTTCGCGCGAATCGCGCTTTTAAAGACCCGATCTCTTTTAGAATTAAAAAAAAAAAAAAAAAAAAAAAAAATAAAAAAAATAAAATCACATGAAAAGCCATTTTCGTGATTTGAAGAATTTCGAGTCGTC